TTTCTTTAAGCATTTAAGTTAAGACTTTCCAGAATTTTCCGGGAAACCATCTAAACTATACTCAGTATACCAATTCAACTCGTAAGTAGAAGATTCTTCAAGTTGCAATTTGATTAAACAAAACCATTAGCGTTTCATTTCACTTTTTCGAAATTACTGAAGTTATGATAACAAGAAAAATACCATCGAATTAGTTTCGCGCATATATAAGTATGACATTTATCCTTAAAAAAAAAAAAAAAATGTCTCATAACTATTTCCGAATATTAAATACATTTCATATATGTTTTCGAGTAGCAATCTTAAGCGTAAAGTGTTGGCTGAAAAATTAAAAGTTAAAATTATTAAATTCGATAGCGATGAGAGGTTGCCGAGGTTCTTGTTTAATATGTTGTTCCGATCACTAGTAGTTATGGATGCGATCATGTTAAACTAGAATTTCGAGCAGGCAAACAAGTTTTTTTTTTTTTTTAATTTCTAACTTTTTTGTTATTATTTACAATTAACTGCGGCAAAAATGCCTATTTTTTGATTCAAATGCCACTGACTTAATTGTTTTCTTCACAACTCTTACAAAAACATTACTGCGTACAATAAGAAAAGCAACACCAACCAAAACACACATACAATTGCGTTTACTCTCAATACCAGCACTAGACAGAGAGGCGAGAAAAGCTAACGACAGAAATATTTGCACACACCAACGTAATTATTTACTTTCTGTTGCATTTTGTTAGTCTGGAGAAATTCTTTGAAATTATTTGCAAATACTCCCTCTGGCTTGTGGTATATTACTTGCAGTTGGTTTTGCAAACAAGGAAAGTGTCTTAGAGAAATGTTGCATCTTCACCGGTTACGGCTCTGAAGTAAATGGTGACGATGAGTATGTGTTTTCCAAATTAAGAAGCAAGAAAGATTTGCAAAATTTGGCTTTTAAGTGATATCCACGCTTCTCGTCCTTAGCGGAACTGTCTTTTCTAAAAGAAAAAACAAATGACTAGCAATAGGTTGCCAATTACATAATCATCGCGAAAATACTTCGGCCTTATATTCAAATTAAAATTGCAAAAAGTTTTGCTTATCCTATGCAAACATCCAAGTAACGCCATTATAGTAGGCCAGAGCTCACGATTAAATAACCTACATCACCCTAATGTTATTCATATAACGACTTTTCAAAATAAGTCATTAGATGGTAAGTAGCCGTAAAAGTGCTGCTATCCGAATCACTTCCAATAGGATTCACTCTTGAGCCCAAGCAAGTCAATGTACCAACTTTCATCAAAATATCAGACAGAACACAAAATGGACAGATGGACAGGCAAGCTTGCATCGATTCAGAAAGTGATTCCGAATACGTCGGTATAATAAAAGGTAGGTTTATCTAAAGTCCTTTAGAGTTTTACATACATCCGTACGAACTGGATATGCCCTTATATCACAAGTAATGTATGCTAAAAGCTTTGACTTTCAATCTTTTGCAAAAGCCGCCAACTTCTACTTTGTGCTTCTGGCCGACCAACTTTCTTAAATTAAATTTAGTTGGATTTCCTTAGTCGTGTGTGATGAGGCCGTTTCTGAATCGACTCCTTTCTCGTGCGAATAAGCTTTCTGCCGTAGAGGGATTTGAAATTTTCCCTTCTTCTTTTCCACGTATGGTTGTAGGCTGAATTTCGGTATTTTTTCCTTTTACTTACTTTCCACCTCAGTGTCCCCTATCTACCTATTTAGCATCTTTGGTGGCTTTAACCACATACTAAGCATAAAGTCGAGAATTGTAAGGAACTGAACAAGTATACGCTTACGGCCGTTAATGAATTAGACAATAAGTTGCTAACACTTTTGAAATGGATGATGTGGATAAAGAGGCATTCCGGAGGCAGATTGTAGAGTGAATTGAAAATTTTATGGCTTGCAATATCTTTTTAAAGATTGTTATGTGCGGAAGGCGGATGTTTCTCTGCGCTAGTCAGACAATGATTACTTTCATCTTTTCATTAGGCAACAAAACATGCTATTATCACATACATTATGGGTTTCGCACTTTGTAGATAGTTTCGTCAGGACTTGAAATTGGATTGGATATTATCAACCATGATCAAAAATTACTTAGGTGGAGTATCTTTACCGATTAGTTTGCCCCAGATTGTTTAATATTGTTTTTCTTTTTCGCTCAGTGTATATATATATATATGTGAAAGTAATGTTAATGTCATTTATCCCTTGAATAACTAAATAGAAATTTAACCAAAAAGTTGTTAAATAAGTTTTTACTTTTCTTTTATATTTATAATTTATTTTTGTATAATTTTTTATTTCCTTTATTTTTCTTTATCTTTCTCTTTTTCTTTTTTGTTTCTTTTTTAATATATTAATAGCAAATCTACTGCTTTTACAATGTAAGGATTACAATTAATTCTATTCGAATTCTATTTTTCTTATTGATTTTTTTTTTTTTTTTCTTATTCTTAAAAACACAATGATTTTAAACAAAATAATAATAATCATAATAATATAAAAAAAAAAAAAAAATTAATTTTTGCTAATTATAAAAAGGCCATTAGAAAGTTATTCTCCTTCTCTTTCTTTACTCGAGTTTACTCGAGAACGATAAACGAACGTATAAATTATAAACAACAGAAATTCCTTTTTATTCACTGTACAATGGGAGGCGGCGTCGTTAAAATTAAGAAAAAAGAAAAAAAAAACTTAACCAAGAAAACATTTTATAAGGCGCTCAATATATAAAAAGAATGAAGAAAACTATAAAGAAAACAATGTAACCGTCTATTTAAGATAAAATAAAGTTGAAAGAAAAGAAATTTTTTAATTTTTAATATATTAAATTAACAATGTTTTCATTTCATTTAAATATGAATACATATATATATATATGTATATATATATATATGCATAGACTCTATGCCTGCATTTATATATATGATGGGTAAATAGAGGGATTTTCATGTACATTTATATAAGCAAATGCAATTACAGAGTAAGATAGAGTAAAGTAGCAGAGAATTGCAACATGAATATCGATAAGTAATTGTAGTATATATTGAGTTAAAATTTCATTCTATGATTAAGAAATCAAAAGCACTTCTTTAACAAAAAAAAAGCTTCTCTTTTACTGCAATCCTTGATTACACCACCGAGTGATAACGATACAGAAAATGCATTCTTGTCTACAGTGCGATTTCATTTAGTCGCTTTAGCTGTATAAGTCGGTCTGTAAGTTCGATGTTTGAGATTCTTCTTAGTTGGTGTTCGCAGAAAAAGTATTAAGAGAGAAGAGCGAAGAAAAGCCAGCCTTCTCCTTCACTGTTCCTATTGAAACTTTCTTTTCCATTGCAATGCGTGACATTTTCTTGGGTTTCTTCAGACGTTTTCATATTTAATCATTTTCGTCAAGTAAGCGTCTAACAAAATATTGGAATCGAACTACGATGCGAGAGGAGCGAAAAAAATGCTCTAACTGCAAATGAAATGAAAACCATCAAACACCCTACACAATGTATAATGACCTTTGTCCCTGGGTCAAACTAGTTTCATCAAAAATTAACGGCATGTAGACTGAATACTTGCACGCAAAATGGGCAGACAAGCCTAGAAATGAAGCTATCTCAAGCCCTTCTGCCCGTTAAATACATTCGCATAAAATTAATATGCTTTTGTACCATATCTCATCCACATAATGACTTCTCAAAATAAAACATGCTATGACAAGTAGTTGAAAAAGTGGTTCGATCTGAACTATTCTCAATAGTGTTCACCCTTGAGTCAAAACAGTTTCATCAAAAATTAAAAAACTAAACGGACAGACGGACAGACAGAGGCAGAGGGTCTATCTAAAGTTCTTCTGCCTGTCAAATGAACCCGTATACTGATATTCCCGACTAAATGTTCCGCTTATGGGCGAGCCCTTTAAAGACAACTTGTAGAAATTGGTGACCTTGAACAAACGCTTTTCAGGAACACCTATTTAACGAAAGTGTCAAACTCTGCTTAAGATTTTCACAATTGTTTAGGAATTTCGGTTTGATTTAGATTCTCTTGAATGATTTAGAGATCTCTTGGAGATTTTCAAATGAACACTTCTTTTCTTCACCCTTCACTTGCAAGTAGAAGTATGAAATTAGGCTCAGAAAGCGAAAGCTTCTATTTCGGTGGTGGCGATGGTGGAGGTGGTGGACCAACATTCGTTTTAAGGCGCATTTTTAACATTTTGATTTATTTTCTTTTATTATTATTATTTTTTTTTTTTTTGTTGAATTTATTTCACTAAAAGTTGAAGCTTTTTTCAATAAGAATGCATTCATTTTAGGCTTTAAGTGTTGAACATGTAGACACAAACATCAATTAGAAAATGTTTTGTTTTTTTTGTTTTTTTTTTTTTTTTTTTGTATTATCAATGATTACATCTTACATAATAAGTATCTTAACATATGCTTTGATTTCTACGAATATCAGTTTTATTATTTTTATTTATTTTTTTTTATTTTTTTGGACTGTAGACAGATTTCTATGAATTGAGTCAAATCTCTATTGACTTTTATTTATTCTGTTATATTAATTAATATTTAGATTTGATTTAAAAGCACTACGCGTTGATTTCTTGCACTTTTTCCTTTGCTTCACAGTGTAAAGAAAAAAGAGATTTCCTTTATTTTCCGCGATTGATTAAATTATCTTAAATATTTACAGGAACTTAAGATATTTCAAATAAGTTTTTTTAATTTTTTTTATTCTTTTTTAATATTTCTATTTCTGTTTACATATATTGTTGAACAATTGGTTTGTTTGCCAGCTTCTTCTTCTTCTTCTTCTTCCTCTTCTATGATGACACATATCTATATCTAATGTAAGTATAAACATTTCATTTTGATTCATCTCCTTCTCTGATCTCTGACTATAAATTTGGACAAATGCTGATTATTTTAATTACAATTTTAGATGAGAGTTGAGTTATATATATATATATATATATATATATATATATATATAAAGAAAAATTATATCCCTTTTAAAAAACTTGAACCATTTTCTACTAATAATGCATCTATGTAATGTATGTAATGTATGTATGTATACTTGCTATAAATTGGATACTGCGCGTTATTTTGTTTTTTCTTTTCATTTTTTTTTTTTTCTTCTTTTTTTCGTGTGTGTGTGTAATTTCTGTTAATCCAAAACAGCAATATTTGACTGACGCTTTATTAATCGTAAACTCAGGTTCATGCAAGCGAGTCGTAGTTTATTTATTTTTCTTCGCTTCGTCTAACTGACTTGGTTATGTTAGTTGTTGTAGTTGTTGTTTTGTTGCCTTTGCTAATATTCCGTTAATGTTTCAGTTTTGATATTCGCTAATTGTTAGTAACCTGGAAAGGACATGGCGCCAGCACTGCTGTTATCCAAAGGTCACTGATGCATTTTACTTGCATGGTGTCCCATACTCAAACCCAAACCTAAATGATGATTATTATGATGCTGTTGCGCCGCTTGTCCATGATTATGATTACTATTCGTACTATTGTTATTATTTTGTTGATTGGCTTGACGTTGTGAATTTTTTTTATTTTTCATACGTCGATTCTGAAACCAGATTTTCACCTACGCACCAAATAAGAGAAAAATTAGATGAAAAATATTTTTCGTATTTTTTTTTTTCTTTTTTTTTTTTTAGTTTAACTTACTTGTCTTTCACTTAGATTTAAATTTCTTGCTAATTCCCAGCGTTTTTGCTTCGATACGTAGGCATTGTAGAGAAATTCTTTTTCCAATTCCAAAGTTTGAAATTTCGAATATGGCTTACGTTTCTTTCGCGCCGAAACTGGTCCATTCACGGTCCATTCGTGAACGGGATTGGGATTGGTAGGCGTACAAGAACCAACAGCACCCACCGCAAGACCACCTAAAGCATATAAAATATTTACAAAAAAATTTTTTTAATTTTAAATTAAAGAAACAAAAGTGTTAGAAAACAAAAGAAATTTAATCGCTCACGATATAATCAAAGACCAACGATAAGCAAAAACATAATCGAGTCCAAAGATTGCCTTAATAAGCAATAGAACTCTCGTAAGCCTTTTATTATCCGTCATTCGGCCGATGAATAAATCAACCCTTCCAAACTGTAAAGATCGCGATTGCAATCATCTAAAAATCTAGACTTTATTGGTGAGTCATTACTTCACTTATTGCAGTTCAAAATTTAAAGCAGAAAAGATTTACTCCTATATATGTACATAATACCATGACCAACAAAATAAAACCAGTATTCGAGTTAAATTGCGCGGGTATATCGAATGTCACAAAAGTTTTCTTTTAAATTCACGTCTAAAACTTCGTTAGTGTTTCACCTGCACGTGGTTTTGTATGACACAAAAAGTATTTTCTTTGCTTTTTACAACGTGGATGGAGATAATTTTTGACTGTCAATCTGTGATGAAACGCATTATTATGGGAGTTGAGACTTGGATGCATACGAACCGAAAGGAGCCGATCTTTCGAGCGGATGTCGTGTAAAAGGTAAGTCAAGGCCGAAAACACCGCACCAAAGTTGCTCCAAACTCAACCTGACGTTAACAGTACCTATGAATTCCTCCCGCCGAGCCAAACTGTTAATAAGAAATATTATTTGAGTTTGAAAACTACGTTCAAGGCGACCAAATAGATTGGGAATAATAAATAGATTTGGAAAAGAAAAAATTAAATTGGCCTTACTTTTTGGACACAGTTGTATGCGCTTGAAAAAACAAAGGTTATGAACCTATATGCCCATTGAAATCAGAACTTTATAGGTCCCCGAATGCTTTAAGCCCGAAGAAATGAAGACCATTAGGTAATCATACAGTCAGATATGTATTCTGCTTGGAGCGAATATATCTCAAATTATGTTCTACGGTTTCTAGGTTTATCTTCCGTTAATTGCATTAAAGTTAAACCTCTCCTTAGCCTGTGCAACATTATCCTAAAGCAGCAGCCGAAGGAGCATTTTAGCCTCTTTCCTTTTAGTAGGTTTTGTTCACAATAACCTTCTGTTTATTCCCCGAGTTATGCACTCTTCGGCCAAATCCTTTTAGGTAAGAGTTAGAAGAGCCTGCCTAGGAGGTTGCGACAACTTAGATTCTCTTATCTCACTTACAGACGTAGTGACCTTTAACTTTCATCGCTAATAATGAGATTAGTTAGTCACTTGGTATTAAGATCGAGGTGTGGTGGTGCTATGTGTTACTCCCTTTCATATTAGTCTAATGAGTCGTCTAACTTCTTGATTCCTGCTTTTATTTATTTATTTTTTGTGTTCTTTTTACTTTCAATTTTTCTTTCTTCTCCTTTAGATTGTTTAAGAACATTTCGTATTATTTCACTTTATCATTGCACCTATGGTAGACATTGCAATCTACTATTAGATCATATTGAAAAGTCTCGGCGGTTTCGAGCTTCTTTTTGTAGCCTTTTTTCAAATAATTCCAAATAATGTTTCGTGCTTTCGCTATTTGTTTGACAGCTTGCTTGCCGGTCTTGCTCCACCAGTTCCGAAATTTCATTGATTGTTTCAGTGCTCGTGCGAGGTGCATCTTTGGCATCGAAGTTTTACGGAATGGAATCGCGTAAGGCACTCCTGGACTCTTCATACATTCATGGCATTCTCACCCTATATATTCTTTATTTTTTGCATCGCACCGCGTATTTCTTCAGATACTTCACCCATTTTCAAATCAATTGAACGTTTTGCATGAGCAAAGAATTAGAAAACTATTTTCGCTATTTTCAAACTATTTAAACTACATTCAAAAAATGTAAGCTGAAGGGTCAAATTTCAAGTACATGTTGATGCGATGTAATCAGTTGATTCTTCTGTTCGGAAATTCTTTTGCGGAAAAAATCGCGGAGAGTTTGTAATATGATCTAATATAATAGGCCTGCCCTCATGGCTTCGAGGTTACATAAGCGCCAATGAATAAATAAATAAAATTTAGAATATTTATTATCCCGATCGGTAATTGGTTGCCCGATCTGCATTCAATAAAACGTTGGCCTTCATTTTCAATTCCATACTCGAGACGTGTTAGATGGGTGTCTAAGATTCGCTGAAAGACGCGCACAATTCTCTTACTCAAATTTCTAGATTATATTACATTTTAAGAGTTTAACTTTGGCATTCCTATTAGTTTTAAAGGAAAATTTTAATATCAAAGAAATAATAAATGGCTAATTAATTCAGCGTTAAAAACATAACTTATCATATTTACAAACATATGTGCGCGTGTATGTATGTATACAATTTGGTTACTAGTCACGCTAGCTTTTTGTTTCATTTTTTTTTGTTTTTTTTTTTTTTCGAATACTCTATTTCTATTGTATACGAAATTATTTCATTTGTTTTTTATGAAAGACGTAAATCATAAAGCGGAGATTAAACAAAATATATGAGCGCCATAAATATAATTTAAACAGTTGTGTTTGTAAATCAATTTGAATATTATTTTGTATGTTGATTAAAGAGTAAGCCGTTTGAATTCATATTTACATACATACACATGTATGAATTCGTTCGTGTCTTTGTATTTTTCAAGAGCTTCAAAGAACGCACGCGCGCCTTTCTTTCCTCTGTCTTGACGCTAAATCACTATTTGATTCTTTTAAATACATTTACGCGCAAGCGTACGCCATCGCGAACGAGATCTTCTAAATTTACTTTTTATATATCCCTTTTTTAAGTTAGCGAAAAGAGCGCCTTTTGGAACTTTTTTCCGGATTAAAATCCAAGGCTTTTCTTCTTACTATGAATTTGAGGGCTCACGTGAGCGCAAACTGACATATATTTTTATAAAGAGGAACTGAATAAAAGGAAGCGAAGAATAATTTTTTATTTGGATTGCATGGTATTTTCGCTAATCATTCGTTCGCTTATCATATTGCATAGGAAAGAAACTAAATATTTCGCAGGGATATGGCTAGAGAGAAATACTGCAGTTGTTTTCAACTGCTCCCTTCTTCAGTCGGCCTTTCAGATGAGTAAATAATTAATCCAAAAAAAAAAAAAAAAAAAATGATAAAAAAGAGAAATTTCAGATTGCATAGCAGAAGTCTTAGAGATTTTTGTTCTCTCACAGAAAACCCTCAAAAAGTGTTCGAGACTTGAAAGAGATCGTCAGTACAAAGTTAACTATCAAAAATCTATTGACAAATTGTTTGCCGCATTATTCAAACTTGGATGAAAGCAGCTTATCAATGAAACTTTCTCCTCTAAAGCGGTTAACCAAAAGTCAAAATCATCGGGAATGTTTTGTAAAATAAATTTTCGTAATCGGTAATGTCTACAAATTGTCAAAGAAATAACAGGACATGGCAAGACATCAATGCCGACCATCTAAAAAAGTTTGAAGTTTTAAAAAAATTTCTCAAACCCAAGGTTCTCTTCTTTTTGTTGCATTTGCTTGTTAAAACCAGAAAAAGGAAAATTTCCTCATGTAACCTCATCGAAAGTCCCAGTTTGCGTTGCATTAAATATTCGAATTTGATGTTTCATTAAGAGATTGACAGATTCACGACTACCAAGTCAGGGTTCCTATCTCAATGCGGTAAAGCTTACTTTGGTTGTAGTTGTAGTGAACGCCCAGTCGATCAGGCACGGGACCGCTTCCCAATCTTGTTCTGCTTACCACCTTCTTTCCGACCGTCAGCATATCACACGAGTGAGGGACATCCGTTGAGTGATAGCTAGTTTATGTATATATATATGAAAGCTTCTTTCAAATTCTAGCGTTTTCTTAAGCCATCGTGACTTAAGCTGCAAAAAATAGTTATCGGGTCTGTCGCTTTGGAAAATTAAATTACGAAAATTGTTCAAGTGTACGTCCAAATATCCAAATAAGATGAATGTGAAATTTCTCCTTTCTTATAATAGTACTTAAAATGATCAATTGAATATAAACGAGAGAAAGAGAGGGGGAGAGGGAGAGAGAGAGAGAGAGAGAAAGAAGAATAGGTAGGGAGAGAAAGTGGTGTGAAGGCAGACTAGAAGCTTTTCTCTTAACCCAAACTAAATGAAAAGAAAAATTTTTCCATCATTTTTTCTCTATTTTTGCATACTAGGTTACCTTAAAAGATGCCTCATGTCTAGCCTTTAGAAAGTCAATAATATTCTCTTAAAAGGTAGGATAATTGCAAAAATTTTTAGGTAAGTTATGGCGGTTGAGAAAGTACTTAAAAACAATGTCGTGATTAATTAAAAATTCAAAATTAAAATTTACTGTATGTACTGTACTTGCATATATCTATCTATATGTATATATATATATATATATACATGATATATAAATGGCCTTAATATATTTATTGAATAGTACCTTTACGTACATTTACCTACACGAATCTATACACATACGCACACGTGTTTATGCATTAGTACACAATCGCCTATACTGTCTCCGTGAAATGTGTGTATAAGAGCTTTGGCTTATGAAAATACTTATTTGCGTTAGTGTTTGTGGTTTATTCGTATGCAATTTACCTGTACTCGCATATGCATCACTTGGATACGCTCGTAAACCTCCGGGAGACGAATACGTTGGCGTTTCATAACTTGACTGAGAAGTACCCTCCACCGATTGTCTGGCCGCTGCAACAGCACTGACACTGGCATGTCTATCATCGCTAGCACTCATGTAGGCGGCAGCTGCAGCCGATATAGGTTGTTCGCGGTAGTTCCAATAGGGCTATTAACCGTCAAAGAGTTATGAGCAAAATTCAAAAAAAAAAAACAAAAAAAAAACAAGTAAATAATTTTATTTTCAGTTACATAAACGTACACACATCCGTATATACATACATTTTCAAATATAAAAATATGTGTGTTCATACATTAAAGTGGGCATAGGAATGCTCGATTAAAGGGAAATTGCATATCAATTTCCAAATAATAGTTCGTTTTACCTGGAACTGCGGCGTTTCTGGATAACCGTAAAATCCGGGCTTACGTTCTCTATCTAAGTAGTATTGAGATGCATGATGGTATTGGGCTGAACTGAAGCCATCACTTTCATAAGGCCAAGGATGTGGATGCCGTTTTACGGCCGCACTGGCTTCAGTTTCAAATCCTGGCCTTATCGCCGCAGGTATATGCAATTGGTGGGCTAGCGAGAGGGACATATCTGCAATAAAAAGTCATAGATATTTCAAATATCTCTAGGAGTGCTCAAATTTCAAATTCAAATTAACAGTTGACGACGTGTGACCAGAGAAAGATAATCTACCTAACATATATTGTCAATGCACGCAGTCATGAAGTACCTAAAATGTGTCTCTTTTTTTGCTTGTACTCCTTTAGTGATTGTTATGCGATACAATAGAATCGACAATGTATCTCGCGGTTACGGAAGAGATGTATATATATAGGCATATATATATATATGTTATCTACTTTCATTAAAAAACTTAATTTAAAATTTTTCCAGGAGAGCAAGAAATTCAAAGGGCGACCATAAGAGCAACTATGGCGCTCTAAAGCAAATTTCACCCGCAGAGGAAAATTCAGAACCTTTCCTTGACTTTCGTTTAAAAGCTCCGTCAACGCAATTCAATTCTTTCAAATCTCAGCTAAGTTTTGAGTATTAATTCTTTATCCTGACTTCCCAGAAAAATGTGAAGTGCACTAACCTAAGTAATTTTAGTGAAAATTTTCTCTCAGTGAATAAATTTTCGATAACCCAATTATCGAGATAGGTGAGTGTAACTGGAAAAGTAGCATAAACATCCTGCTAATGATAGTCGGAATAACAGTATAACCATGACAATGATCTTTCTAGTCAGCAGCAAAGAAAGATTGTATGTCAAAGCGCCATAAATGTATTTTATTGCAATTAATTTTAACGTTCTAAAGTCACGAAAAATACCGCGCACAAAAGTCCGACAAATTTTGCTTATGTCAATTTTCAAAGGTCGTCTTATGTACTTCTCCGCCTGTGCCTTTACATGAACTTTCGATTTCGCATGCTTCCTGCTGTCTTCTGCTTTGACCTATTCGCGATGTCTTTGGCAAAGTCCCTCCGACGGCCTTTTCGCCTCTCCCTCCATACATGCCTGCCTCTAATCGTCGTCGTCTGCGTTTCCGTGTCCGTCACCCCTTTCCGTCTATACACTTCTTCCTTCGCCGTTTTATCTTTCGTTACCTCCCCCGTTAGTCGTTTGTGTGCTAATATTCTTTCCCAATTATTAATGTTCTCAAAGATATGGAAATACAAGGTGAACACACAAGACTTGTCAAAATATTTACAATCGCGATTGATTTCATCTGCTTATGGATATTCAGCAATGATCAAGAATGAAGTCCTTTTGTAGCCGAACATATAAATATTCGAAATAATGTTTTCGAAGTAATTTTCCAATTACTACTCTACGCCTAACCCTAATGGAAATCAGGAGAACTTTCGGATTTGATTTACTTTAAGATATATATGCAGGAAACTTTGTGTCTTTTCTAGGTAAAAATTTCTATAGAATTATTGAATAAAATGCAAATATGTTTAGCAAGCTTTTCTTTCTTAGCAAATTGAATCAATTTATTTGCATTAGAGAAACAAAATTCAAGTTTTGATTCCTGAACAGATGGATTCTAGTAGGCTTGGCAAGCTCCAATGGAAACTTATATTTGAATCGGAATTCTCTTATCAGATGTATCTCGCTTTTCGCTTTCGCTTTCGCTCTTGCTCTAAAGTAGTTGAAATCATAGCTGAATTTAAACCTTTCCTTTACAGTCTTTCGTATTAAGCATTTAACCTAATCTCAGTCAGGTTTTCTTTCTTCTTTGAGTTCTCACCTTTCGATTGCCAACTGTGTTAATAAAGTTTAATTAGATGTAGATTAAAAAAATAACTTTTATAAGGTATTTTTAAAACTACTTGACGTACCTGGAGGCTGGGAGCTAACACTGGAAGGGGAAACACTCGCCGCAGTCGGCGCAACAATTTGTGGCTGGCTGGACGCCACTGCTGTATTTTGCTGCTGTTGTTGTTGTTGTTGTTGCTGTTGAATACTTGAAGTTGCTGCTGAGGATACTGAATTCGATTGTGATGCTTGTTGCTGATGATGAGGTGATGTTATGTGTTGTTGTTGCTGCTGTTGTTGTTGTTGTTGTTGTTGAGTTTGTGTTGCAGGTCCGGTCGATGTTTGCGAAGGACTTAAACCACTCACTGGCGTCGTAGCGATATTGCTATGTTGCGACTGTTGCTGTTGGTTTGCTGTTTGTTGTGTTTGAGGAAGATGATGTTGTTGATGCTGTTGCTGTTGCTGTTGCTGTTGCTGCTGAACTACAGACACGGCAGCAGGGGGATCTTCATACATAACCGCATGTGTAGGCGTGGAATGTGTGTTAGATTGTGTAGTCGATTGTTGTTGTTGTTGTTGAATCGTTGCATCCGCACCCAGCAACGTTGTAGTCGATGATAGATTCGCAGTCCCCAAACCGATCGAAGCAGCGTTATGTTGTTGCAGGTGATGATGTGGTTGTTGTTGTAAATGTTGCGTATGATGAGGATGAGTAGCATGCAAATGAGCGGGCAAGTGAGGTGGCGGGTGGGTATGATGGGCCGTATGTTGCAATTGATTATGGATTGTCGCAGTTGCCGTATGTTGATGGTTATGTTGAGTATGATGGTGATGATGATGATGATTGAGGGCAGTTGCAGTTGTTGCCGAAGGAAGTGCAGTAGTTGCGTGATGATGTGGCCCCCACCAAGCCCCGGCAGCGGCGTGCGACCCAACTGCCGAGACATCGTGGGGGTCGTAAAGAGCGCACGCCAGCGGGATGGTTGGGGTTTGGGGGAGGGGTGGAATATTTACGGTTATTTTGACCGCGTTTTTTTTATTTTTTGTTTAAATTTTTTTTTTATTATTTACGTTTTTAATTCAAAAAAATCAATTCAAAATAATAATAAAATTTTAATTAAAATTGTTTTAATTAAATTTTTTAAAAATTATATAATTTTATGTCAAGAACCATCAGCACGTATATTTTTAATTTATTCATAAATAGATGATTACGTAGCGAAGAGAATTAAGAGTATTTTCGATTCGAACAGCGATGAGAGCAAGTATTTATTGCCGCGGATATACATGTACAAACATGCACATACATCCAATCCAGTAATTTAGTTCGCAAAAGAGTGGTGGTTTGTATAATAGAAGAGAAGAAAAGTTTCCATGTTATGCAGCGAAGAGCACAAGTTACAGGTTCGCAAGTTTCAAAGTATTTGAGCAAATTTCAAGTTAAAATTCATATTTTACATGCACGTCAACATTAAGTTGAGTCCGATCAAATCGGGTTTCGTTCAAGAGATATTTAGTGAGTACAGGGTGAAATTTATATTAATTTTGTCAACAAAATTTTATTTTAAAAAAATTTATTAAAAACAAAAAAATTTTTTTTTTTTTTTATTTGTTAGAATTCGATAATTATTTGAGAGCGCGATTTAATGTTTAAAAATTAGTTTTTATGCGATTCATGTTTCCGTGGTTTAGTTTTAGTTGTTTTTGTTGCAGACAATGTTATTTTTAAAGGGCCATAAAAATCCATTTTACGATCAAAACAAATAATAATTATTTTATATTTTGTTGTTGATGACGATTTGTTGTGGATTTTAATACAGTTTGGTTTTTTTATGATATTGCAGTTATTGTTGTTGTTATTGTTTTTTTTAATTGATTTTTAAATCAAACATAAACGTTTGCCGGTTTCGCACAATCATTAAAATATCCATTGATACGTTAACACACGCACCGCAAATTAATACGTATTTCAGGGAAAGTTGAGGAAGTTGCGGGAATTCATGTTGAGGAAGGACGGTTGGTTGTTGTTGTTATTAAAGAAAATTATGAACAAAAAAAAATGTTTTAGTTACGTTTGTCTTTACATTTCAAAGGAATTTGAATATGTTTTCTCAATTATAAATATATTTAAAAGTTTTTCATTATTTCTATTTCTATGAATTTTTATTGCACTCGAGTAATTTTTAAAAAAATTTTGTTGAACAGATTTCCTTCACTTGCTTCCAATTAGAATCTTTCTATATTTCTTAAGAAAGAATTAGTAAAAAAAAAAAAACAATTTTTTTTTATTTTTTTTTTTGCACACACACACACACATAAACAGGCTTAGACTTGCACACGCATACCAACGAACAATGCAAACAATAGAAAGCGTCAAGTGTATTATGGCTATATAGGCATATATGTATAAATACTTTTAGAGAATACAATAATACAATAATACAATGCAATAATAAGACAAAAGTGTCGCGTTCACTGTGTGCCCTGTACCGTACGCAGCGGAGTACAAATCAACACTGACAACAGAGATTCTTTTGTCCGCACACACCAACTGAAAATGTCTTCATTCACGTAGTCAGTCAGTCAGTCGACCATCTAGAAAACAAAATAAAAAAAAAAAAAAAAAAAAACTAAAAACAAAAATCATACACTGAACTGTCCGTCCGTTGAATGCTATTCATATATTCATACATTAGCCAAGAAGCGCGCACCAATATACGATGTTTAGTAGCACAATACTATAGAATAAAGGAAAATTCGTCACGTTTGTTTTTCTCATACACACAGTGCGCCGCGTATAGAGCATGAAAGTTTTTTTAAAAACAAAAAAAAAAAAGCAAACTCGTTTCTCATACAAGAAACGAACACTGACTGTATTGAAAAACTTACTCAAAATTCATGCTCTTTGAATCCACATTATACGTACGTACGTACGAAATCGTATCAAAAAAAGACAACAACAAAAAAAAGAAAAAAAACATTTCATTCTAAACACGACACACTTACGCTTATATGTGTAAATAGTCATATATGAATATTAGTACAATGGCTACGCTTGTATTGGTGATAATCGTATGCTAAAGTGTTTTGTTTTATTTATATAAAATGCATGCGCTCTTCTTTCTATTTGTATGCAAGGCTATGATGTATCAAACTAACTGTACACAAGAGTAAAACGAATTAGTCGATGTCTCCAAATACGTATACATATGCCAACGTATTTGTGGGGTGAAACCAACTCTCTTACAAGTTCATGTCCAGCCAGACAACTCACATGTATTCACCGATAGTATACGTGAACCTGCTGCACGCCAAATCCACAGTGCCAGCAAAAACAAGAGAGAATACTTGGATATATGAATATAAACATAAAATACATACGCCAAAGTTTTGTATTCTATGGATACGAAACGCTTATTAATTTATGCGGAAAAAATCTCTTAAGATGGTAGAAAGAGAGAAAGAGAGAGAGAGAGAGAGGAAGCTTACTTTTCAAGAGTGATGATAACGATGATGAGTGAAGCGAAAAATAACATTTTTTTCAACAAAAAAGTATTTAAAAATTTGCTTTCTTTTTTTAAATTTTAAATCGAAAAAAAAAGGACAACAATTTTCAATCTTCCGGATACGTTTCTCTTTGCGCAGTATCAGATTTAAATACAAAAACTCATACTATACATATATTTAGCATATGGATTTACGTACAAACTCAACCATTGTTGACAAAGAAAACAAAAAAAAACAAAAACTACATACAATGTTAGGGACTGCATAGCGAAACGTTTTCAAGATAATACAAGTGGCTCCATCTACATATTACGAATTGCTCCAACAGAAAAGTTTTCAGTCATCTAAATAAGTTTTGCATAAAAGAAAAAGAATAGTGAGGATGGATATCTATCTATCTCTCGTACCAGAGTACTAGAAAAATAATTTTTTAGTTTTTGAAATAATTCGCTGCTTTCAGAACAAGTGCCTCGACTTTCATCCCCAAGTAGTATAAGACGTTGCCCTGATTCTTTGCAAAAATTTTCTTGTCGCAAGTGCCTAAGCAGTAGCTAATGTTGCGCTCTTCTGAAAGATATATAAACTAGAAGCAGAAAAAAAACCAAACGGTTTTAATAAAAACGTAGCACAAGTTAAAAATACAAGAAAATCAAATGACAACAACACTCCCGCCTTAATAATTATCGAAAGTAGATTGATAATCTCAAGGCGAGATTGTACTAAAGAGCTTAGATTCGCGTTTTAAGTTGAACGAGAATGTTTTCGACGCCTTTCGCGAAAATATGAGAGGATGTTAAGGCCATGCCTACTTGAAGTAGTTAAGCTTTTTAAACGGTTTGCTTCCGGTAGTATATCTGAAGCATATCGAAGAACGTTTGTTAAAGCATACTTTCTGTTTAAATGCGAGAGATTTTTATAGCAAACACTATAGGTGCTGCCTTGAGATGATTCCTCTTCATTTCTACTACAAAAAATACAATACATACAATAGATAATCTTTGATTATATTTCAAGTCTAAGTGATTCGAGTACGAAATATTGAGCTTAGGGATGATGATGTGAACATGAACCTTTCTAAGGGTCCAATAACCTTTTCGTCCACCGAATTTTAATTTCCTAAGAAATGATAGCAATTAAAATGAAAGCCTTCTTAAAGATAATCAAATCCTTCCTGGAATATTTTTCATTCATTTTGCTTTTCGTTTACTTTACTCTTTCTTCATTTTTGATTTATAGTAAAAGAAAGGGTTCAAAGAAAGTATAATTTGAAAATAAATTTATTACATTATTAGTAAATGTTTTTTTTTTTTTTTTTTGTTTTTTCGTGTACAGCAATTGATATAATAAAGGAAGACCGAGAGAAAAAAGAAAATATCTATTAAAAGAAAAACTTTGGAATGCATTGCCTTAACAATTTCACGCTTAAATGAGAATAACGACATATTTTTATGGCATTTAACTACGAGAACGACATGAATGCAACTACCCGTAGATATATGTATGAACGTAAATACATATCAATAAAAATAATTCAAAAAAAAAAAGCCAAAGAAAATTTCCAATTATTACCCAGACAAAGAAGGAAACATCGTCAAGCAATCTTTTTATTACACAGATCGTAATAATTTCAAAACAAATGTGACAAGAGTTACTCAACTTGTACAATTTTTTTTTAAATTTAAATATTCGAATACAACAATAGAACAATTCTAATTATATGGCGTCTCTGCTGCTCTGTACACAATAAGAAGTCTTTCCTCTTCTTCTCTCTCTATTCCCTTAAGTAGAAAATGCACGCGTTCTATTAAGCAAACACATTGTTATTAACATGTAAAAATATCCCTTGAATTATTTACGCTCATTGCGTCTGCTTTTCACACCTCTATACGTACGCATGTATGCAAACGCAATTGTAATTTACATCAAGGAAGAGCGGAAGGAAATGCAGTCCTTTGCATTGCTTAAACAGCGTATGTCCTTAAAACCAATCCTTCTTCGCATCATGAAAAGTTTTCTTCATTATGTCGTATGTCTTTTGTGTTTGTTTCGTTTTCTTCTATACTAATCACAGACTAATAGTTGTATACTATTCCTTTCACTCCCTTTATAATATAGAGAGAGAGAAATATCCGCTCAAGGTTTGAAAGAATTCCTAAATCTAACTGTAATTTTAAGTTGTCCAAGTCTAGGCATGTTAAATAGTCAGTCCGTACATCGGCCCATAGCGCCTCGTTCTTCACATATGATACGTGTACCGTTCGAGACTTCATTATCGCTTGAGTAGAAGTGGGTGAAAGGCCGCGACTAACCATACTTTAAGCACAATGCAAACGCAAAATAATTTTAATTTATTTGAAATTTGATACAAAAATTTCCTATAGCTAATGTATATGTAAAAAAAAAAACTTTCCATGTTTTATATAATGAG